TGACCATAGATAGATGGGTTGATCTCTGGATTCTCAATTCGATTCCATTGATCTATGTGTCTGTCATTGTACCAGTACCATGCTGTCTTTACCACTACAGCAGTGTAGTAGGATTTGAAATCAGGGAGTGAGATACCTCCTACTGTTCTTCTATTCTTAAGGAGTGCTTTGCTTAAGGCAATCTCCAATTTCGTTTGGAATGGAAACATAGACTTTAAAAAAAAATCTCAGAGTATTATCAAAAGGGACCAGGGCTTGAATTGAGAGGCTTTTTACCGAATTGCCAGAATCTGGGTAGACAGTGAGCCCAGATGGTTCAGCCAGTACCAGAACCTTGAGTTCATGATACACCAAGATAATGTCTTACTAATAAATATTATTTTACTATATAATTTCTTTTAGTATAGCTTAATTACAATAATAATGTCACAATACACCGAGAATAATGTCTCTTCAAATCCCACTTCTGCCACCATAAAATGTCAAAGAGAAAGAATATACACTCTATATACACTTTAAAAGAAAGTTAAAAAGATTTATTGAAGGATATTATAGCTGCTAATGGGCAACAATTGGAAAAATTATGAATTACTCTAATGTACATAAAAGGGCTTTGCTGTAGAAGTTGAGGGAAATAGGCAATATCACTCAGATGTCAGTTAATGTATAAATTAATTATGTCCTGGAGCTAGCCTACACAAGCATTTGCAAAAATGGTTTTACTTAACTTTCAGAGATGGGGACAGCTTGTGCCAAAACCTTCTGAGAGCAGCTGCAGTTCTGACTCCTTTCCCGCGTCTGTGTAGATTAACCCATGACTCTTAGCTTGGCTCAAATACCCCTCATTTTTTAGTTCTGTTAGTATAATACAAAGTGGAGCTTAGTCTGCATAATGGGCAAAAGCTCTCCTCTGCCAAGAATCGAGATTTTTTGGACTTTTCCACATGATCGAAGGATTGGCAGCTGAAACTCACCATCTGCCCCAAGGTAGAGAAGACACGGTGATCTGTTCCCTTAAAGATTATGACCTAGGAAACCCTGTGGGACAGCTCTGTACAGCTCCCCGGGGTCACTGTGAGTCAGAATTTACTTGGCAGCAAACAACAGCAGTAGCGTGTAAGAAGGACTCTTTTTTTTTTTTGATGACTCACTTTGGAAAATTCACTTTTCAAAGAACCAAAAAGGCTGCTTTAGGGGATGGTAGTAGGCAGAGAAGGGGAGCTATTAACTGATTGTTGTTGTTTGCTGTCAAGTCAGAACCTACTGATAGCTGACGTGCCAGTGGGTTTTTAGAGGCTGTAAGTCACAGAGTACATTGCCTATCCTTCTCCCACAGAGCTGCTGGTGGATTCGAAGTGTGTGCCTTTGGGATTGCAGCACAGCTTCCTGACCCCTAGGCCACCAGAGCTCCCAGTAGCTGATGCGTTTAAAGACAAACTTGTAATCGAAAAGAGCGATTTCAAAGGCTGCTTGTAAGATTATCAAATCTTTTCAAAATTTAATACAGAAATAAGTTATACACGCACATATTCTTGCCACATGACCCCTGGATTTTCTTTTAGTAAGAGGAAAATACGACAGCAACCTTCAAACTGACAACTGACTTTAAGTACAAAGTTATCTTGTGAAAACAATCATGCCAAAAATAAAAGAACAGGCTCTTCTCACCCTGAATGGCTTCCCAGGGGCTGTGGCTGGAGCTAAATGTGATCATGGCAATGGGAGTTCCGCCTTTCTAGGACATAGCACGTCCCAACTGAGACTGTATACCTCAGACTCAGGAGTATCAAGCAAACAAAAGAGCAGTTGCTAAATTATGGATTGATTTCAGCATTATTGACAAATTTTCTGATGCCTTTGCCTGATCATCTGTAGTACTCGTGTTACAAAAATAGCATTTGTACAGAATGTATTCATGTGCAAAGCAGATCATTTATTTAGCACTAGGACCAAATTATAAAAACATCCATTCCATTTTAAAACAGGCAATTTAAAAACATTTCTGTCATTCTACGTTTACATGAAGACATTTGGACAATCTGGATACTCAACTCTATTATCATTTCCTTGTAAAACAAAGGGATTTTCCCCCCACTGCTTGTGGAGTGCTGAAAGGGAAGCAGAGCTGCAGAACACTGTCCTCACACAGTCCAGCTGGGCCCCGGAAATGCTGTTTCTTTCACTCAGCCCGAGGCTCCTTCGTGAGCTCCGGGGGAAGGTTTCTGGTTTTCCCAAAACCTATTCCAAGGAAACGGTCAGGAATCCATGTGCAATAACGTTTGCAAAATTGACTGCAGTGGTAAACACTTAAGCTTTGTCTCTTAAATTTGGCCCATAAAAACTCAAATAAAGCTCTTGATACTCAGCAATCCCACTCTTGATTTCTAAATATAGTCAAGGCTGGGAAGCTCTCTCTTTTTTTTTTTTTTTTTTGAGGGCTAGGGCAGGGAACAAGGACAAGCCATGGATGCTGGGAAGCTCTCTTTAATAACTACTCTGTAAGGCCACACCTCTCTCCAACAGCTTTTCTAGAGGAGGAAGGGAATGAACTGTGACGATGCTCTCTGAAAACACCAGTGACAAAAACAAGCAGTTTAATCACCTCCTTACAAGCTGACTGGAGGGAGGGTGATGTGAATTCCCGTTGAGCAAGCCCTCATTTCAGATGATGAAAGCAGTATCTTCTCCTCTTAAAGGTCATTTATCTGCTTTTTTCTATTTCCTTTCTCATATTTGGCCACTTTATGGATGTCAGGATAACTCCCCACAGACAGGGAATATTCACAAGTAAGGCCCGAATCTCAAGGGTCTTGCCCTTCCTATGAGAAAAAGGAAGGGGAGACCAAGATGCTGAAGAGAACATCTGTAAGCAGCCAAGATGCCCAATTTTACCTGAGGGCTAGTGAACAGATCATCTGAGGCTCTCCAAGTTCCCAGATGCAAGGAATACCAACTTCAATTCGACTGTGATGATCATTGGCTGTGCATATTAATTATCCTTAATTGGGAAGGACTTGGCTTTCTCTTCAGCTGGGTTCTTGGGCTAATCAGGGGTCAACACAGGAGGGAAGTCCTGGAAGACTCACAGGACAGGGCCAAAGGCCATTTCCCCTTCAATCCACAGGGGGCAGCTCCGTGTCCTGGCGCTCAGGCGTCCATGTCAGTGAACTTTCTCTTCTTGAAATTCTGCACAAGACTGGAAGCCGTGATCTGAGAAGCCTGCCCCTTCTCCCAGCACTGAAAGTCGTTCAGCCCTTTCTGGCCTGTTTGAAATAAGCCCCTCTCCATTTCATCAAGCCTGGCCACTAGTGCTGATGTGTCTTCGTTGTAAGCATTCTGAGATGAGTCCATGATGCGGCGAAAACGGCCAACAAATGTCTGAAGGAAAAGGAGTAGGAGAAATCAGCGCTTGCTTCGAATCTCATAAAGCCAGACCCATTCTTACGCCGAGCAGCCAGCAACAGGCTTTCTCACCTGATGTTTCACAACTGTCAAACCTCAACTTATTTGTGAAACAGGCTGTTGGGAAACTCCGTGTAGGAATATATGATATGTAAAGCCAATGGCTCACAAACAGTAAACACCTTGAAAAATATTACCTACATAACCTATCATTGCTATCGGTAGCACAGGCCATGCAATTTTCAGGCAGGGGAGAGTCTGATATGACTGAATACCATTCCTTTTTTTTTCTCAGCACAGAGCGGAGATACAGAGGGCCTCCCTATGGATGTGGCTTTACTGCAAGGCCCTGAGCCCAAGCCACAAGCCCCTGCCTCCGTTTCTTTAACTGTTTGATAGTGATGCCACCTAATACATAAAGCAACTCAAAGCTAAATTACATTAAAGCAGTCACAAAAAAAAGAAAGAAAAAATATAGCTCACATCAAAAAGGAAAGAAGACAGGAGCCCAATTAACAAACACATCATCCCGAGGACAGTTTGGGACAAATGCATTTTCAGTGTTTCTCACTTGGCCTTCACAGGATCATGAGCTAGAAATGCTCTAGTAATGTGGTCTTTCCTTCCCGCTACAGAGTTCCTGGGTGGTGGAAACTGTTAATGTGTTGAGCAACTAACAGAAAGGTGGAAGGTTTGAGTCTGGGGTGGTCCCTGGAGTGTACCCCTATACTTTGACACATGGTATTATTACAAGTCGGGTGACATGGCAGCAAAGATTGGCTGGCTGCCTACAGTCTACTATTGATTCAAAACATAAATTTTGTTGCTATGAGTCGCAAACGACTCCACCGCACATAACAACAACAACTGAAACAACCAATGAACTCCTTTAAGCATGTATCTGTTCAGTGCTGTGGTTCACCTTTATTTGGGACATAGACCTAGTTGAGGGATTACTGGATAAAACGGTATTTCTAGTCCCAACTTTCTTCTCTTTTTTTAATTTGTTATGTGCCATTGAATTGGATCTGACTGGCACAGGAGGGGACTGCCCCTCCTTCTCCAGCGGAGCATCTGGTAGATTTGAACTGCACGCCTTCGGGATTGCAGCACAGCTACTTGCCACTAGGCCATCAGGGCTCCCCTAGTTCCAACTTTCTAAGGCAGTGCCAAATTGCTTTCCATAGTGGTTGCACCATTTTACATTCCCCCCAATAGCTAGAACCCTTAGCAAGCAAACATGGGAAACAAGTGATAAGTCATATTTAACAAGTGCATTTCATTAGCAGACACACACCTAATTCAGGCTGACCTAGAATAATACTCTATAGATCATACACCCCACTGAATAAGAGGGACTGTACATTTCTCAAGCCATGGCTGGCTCCTGGGAAATGTACAGTTCCACAAATATGACATATGTTACTTGCCTGAAGGAGAGACTGGGAAATGTCTGTATTCTCTGGACTGTCAAAATACAAGAGTTGGGAGCCAAAGCCGTAGAAATGCGGCCCCATCTTATGGAGGTCCACCACGTTGGCATCTGCACTGAATATAGTCCTCCAACCCTCCTGATAGATCTTGGGGAGTTCCACAGATAGGATCCGCCGCTTTCTGTCAAAAAGTCCTTTTGCCAGCCACAAGGGAATTTCAAGCTTCGTGCCCTGTATCAACCAAGAACACAGATTTTTTAAACTTCTTTTTTTTTTAAATTTATTATTTTAGGGGAGCTCTGGTGGCCTAGTGGCAAGGAGCTGCAACTACAATCCCAGAGGCGCACGGTTCGAATCCACCAGATGCTCTGCCGGGGAAGGAGGGACAATCTCCTCCTGTACCAGTCAGATCTGATTTGACGGTACATGCACACAAAATAATAAAATAAAAAAATATTCATTATTTTGTGTGTGTGTACCATCAAATCGGATCTGACTGGTACAGAAGCCTGTCCCTCTTTCTCCAGCGGAGCATCTGGTGGATTTGAACCACTCTTCCTCTGGGATTGCAGTGCAGCTTCTTGCCACTAGGCCCACCAGAGCTCGCCAAGAATACAGATTTTTTTAAAAAACTAGACAGCTAGCATACTAAATGTGTGAGACACACAGGAAATGAACCCTGCTTTTGACAGTGCTGACTGTTATCTTCCGGGGCATGACTGTCAAGTGGAGACCTGGCTTCAATGTGAATCAAACAGCGTGTGGGTTGAAGTTTGTTGAAGTTTTATGACGTGATGGGCTAGAAAGAGAAAAGGGACTTGTAGGACAAAAATGTAGTATAATGGGGAAATTCTTCAGTGCTTTCAAATGTCATTTTTTCGTGAAAAGATACAAAGGAAAGCAGCTCCCATTCCACCGTTTCCAGACATAGTGAACAGCGACTTTGTGTCGTCAGCATTCCCACTCTTCCCCTTCATCCACTTACTCTCCCTGTCTACAACCTTCTCATTTGTGTTAGGAAATAGTTATCGACCCTTTGGCTTTACCTGTTCTTTGCCTCTACAGATAAGAGCAGAACTGTCCCAGAAGGATTTCAAGGCAACAGTAATCTTTATGGAAGCAGATGGTCACATCTTTCTCCCATGGAGGAGTTGGCTGATTTGAACCACTGAACTTTTGCTTAAGTAGCCAACCACTTTCATCACTCGTGTGCCAGCAAGGCACCGTTTGTTTTTATTGTTGTTGTTGATTGCCGTCGACTCGAGCACGAATCACAGTGACTCTATAATTAAAAGGCCTAATGCTTTTCCATAACTCTTGCTGTTTCTCCAAGTTTATAATTTCCAGAGGCATGCGGTTTAGGAAGTGGATGCCACTCCTGCTTCCAATTGGTCTTATACAGACACATTTTTTAAGTGAAATTCTTAAGGATGACAGTCTTTACTGCATGAGACAATCTCTTCCTGTGCAACTTACTGCCTTTAAAAACCTGCTGAAGGGTCAGCTATGGGTCAGTTCCAACTTGATGGTAAAGAATAACAACAAACTTTTTGTTTTTGTTTATAGACATGGTAGACAGTGTTTGGTTGAACTCCCCCATTAAAACAAGCTTGGAAGCAGGAGTGGCATCCACTTCCGAAAGATCTTGCCTCCGGAAATTCTATGAACTTGGAGAAACGATGAAAGTTATACAAGTGTCTTTCGTTCATAGAGTCGTTATGAGTCGTCTATGACTAGATAGCACTTAACAACAACAAGGGTGACTTTAAGGGATGGTTTCAATTCCAGGTACAATGAGAAACTCGGGGCCATCATCTTGGGGACTCTTCCAGTCTTAATATGCCCATTAAGTCTGGATTCTGTAAGAATCTGATGTTCTGTTGCACATTTTTCTCCCTTTTCACTAGGATGCATCTACTGGGTCCCCGACTAGAACATTCAGTAGTGGGAGCAGGATACCATCTACATCTGGTGTTAAGGCGGAGGGGTCAGTGGTTCATGGAAACAAGGTCGTATAGTCCACTTCATTCTCTGATTCTTGGGTTTCCTTCTTTCTTTTTTATTCCCGATGAATAAAGACTCAGTGGTGTTGATACGTGCCATTGGGTCAGAAGTGACTCACAGCAGACTCTCTGGTGGGTTTCAGAGGCTGTAAATCGCCCAAGAGGAGCTTATCCAGCTTTCTGCTGGTGGTGGATTTGAACTGCCTGCATTTAGGCAGGGAGCACGGCTCCTTCCCCACAAGGCTGTAGCTGTATCGTAGGTGGCTGCTTAAAAGCTTTTAAAACCCCAGACACTGCTCCGTATATCGGGAGGCAGAATGTAAACTTTAAGAACCATATTATTTTATACCAATTGTCTGGATTGTTCCACATGGTTACGTTTATAACTGAGTAGTATAAATAATGAGAGCTCTGGTGGCCTAGTGACAAGAAGCTGCGCTGCAATCCCAAAGGCACATGGTTTGAGGCCATCAGCTGCGCCATGGCGAGAAGGATGGGCATTCTCCTCCCGTGTGATTAACAGCCTCTGAAAACCTGCTGGAGGGGAGGGTCAGCTATAGGTTGGTTCTGACTTTACGGTACACAACACCACCAGTATAAATATTGTTCAATTGCAGGAACTCCAGAAGTATAAAAATCATTTTTAATCTCTTTGAACAGTCAGTATCTACTCCATATATGCATAGTGTGAGTGTTTCCTATGAGCGGAGGAGCCCTGGTGGAGTAGTCTATAGCTTGTTGTTGTCATTGTTATGTGCTATCGAGTCGCCTGCGACTCATAGCGACCTTATGTACAACAGTCCCAAACCCAACTCTATCCTGTGCCAATCTCACTGTCTCCGAAAACACTAAGCCCCGTTACCCCAGTCACTGAATCAATCCATCTCATTGAGAGTCTTCCTCTCTTGCGCTGTCCCTCCACCCTCCCTAGCATGACGTCCCTCTCCAAGGACTGATTCTGCGTTGCAACATGCCAAAGTATGTCAGACGAAGCTTCAGAATCCTTGACTCCAAGGAGCATTCTGGCACCACCTTCTCCAGGACAAACCTGTTTGTTCTCCTAGCAGTCCATGGTATATTTAACACTCTTCTCCAGCACCACAGCTCAAAGGCATCAATTCTCCTTCTATTACCCCTAGTCATTGCCCAGCTTTCAGATGCCTAGCAAGTGAATGCAAAGACCTGTAGCTTACTTCACTACAAACCAAAAGAGTGTGTGTCTACAGTCATCTCAATCTACTAGCAGCTCTAAAGGAGAAAGATGAACAGTCTCTTCTCATCAAGATTTAAGATTTACAGTCTTGGAAACCTGAGGGGAGGTTGAACCCACTCGTTGGTAATGAGTTTTTTAGTTTTTGAAAATATTACCCTGAGGAAGCTCTGGTGGCCTAGTGGCAAGAAGCTGCACTGCAATCCCAGAGGTATGCGGTTCGAATCCACCAGATGCTCTGCTGGAGCAGGAGGGACAATCTCCTTCTGTACCAGTCAGATCCGATTAGAAAGCACACCCACACCCACAAAAAATAACAATTTAAAAAAATGAAAATACTACCCTGGCTGCAGGATGATGTAAAAATAAAAAAAACACCCAACAACAGCCCCACTCAGGCTGCAGCTCTTCCCATTTCATTTCAAGGTATAAATACCCCATTTAAGGTCAAGTTCTAGATAGTCTCTGACTTATAGTATATTCAAGTTATGGCAAACTCCACTCAAGACTTTCTGGAGGGTTTGTTTTTTGGTTTTTGTGCACCCAATATATTAGCACATATTAGTAATATGTATTACACGCAGTATTGCAGCACATCATTTGCTGATGTTATCCTCACCTATCTATTCTCAGATGTTCCAAGGTCAGATTTATTAAGACACTGATTATAAAAGGCAACAATGAAAACTAACAAAAAGAGGTATTTGGTTTACATTGTTTGTTGTTGTTGTTAGGTGCCCTTTGTGTTGACTAAGACTCACAGAGATCCTAGGAACAGATCTGAACCAGGTCCTATCCTGTGCCATCCTCATCTTCTCTGCTATCCTTCAGTCTATTGTTACAGGCACTAAGTAAAGCCATCTCGTTAAGGTTCTTTCTTTCCTTCGCTGACCCTCCACCTTTCCAAGCAGGTTATCATTTTCCAAGGAGCTATCATGCCCACTAAGATGCACAACAACCCTGTGAACAGCAGAGCTGAACCCTGCCCTGTCCTAAGCCATGCGCAATCATTGCCATGATCAAGTTCACAGCGGCAGTCACTGTGTCTGTCCATCTCACTGATCTGACTGCCCCTGATCCTCACCACTCCCACCCAACTCGCCTCCCTCCAAGAAAGATGGGCAATTTCCTCCTGCGGGATTCACTACTTTGAAAACCGGCTAGAGGATCAGCTATGAATCAGTTCCAACTAACGGACATTGGCTGAGTTGTTGAGTTGTCCTACAGAATCCAGAGCTGTTTTAAGGGGGAAATGACCAGAAACGTGGATCCTGATGTGTCGAGTAGAAGTTGAACACATCTTTTAAGTATTCAATACATGCAGGGAGGGCGGAGAGACGCAGCTGAATTTGGATAGTTTAGAGAAGGAAAAAATTTGTTCCAGGAAGCCTGATACCCAGGTAAATTTCGTTTCTGCACATCAGACCCAGAGACTGAGCTCGCCAACACCAGTGGACAGAATGCATCAGGGTGCACGGCCCGCTGCCTCCCCAAACTACAAATCCCAGAAGGTACCGCGGCGCGCCCCAGCAAGGTGAAGCCCCGAGGCCGCTGGGCCTGTCGGGAGTTGTCGTTTTCTGGCCGAGCCCAAGTCAAGAGACTTACTGGAAGGATCGTGCTGTCGTTCTCCGCACTTCCACTCCGGTCCGGGAAGAAAGCGCCGAGGCGAGGTATGGGAATCTCCGTGCGCACCGGCAGCTTCTCATGGGACATCAAGATGTCGTCCAGAGAAAGAAAGTTCTCCTCCGGCCCCAGCGCACCCGACTCTACCGGGAAATAAGCCTCGGACATGGCAGCAGCTTGGACTTCTCCGTCTCCCCTCGAGGATCTTAGGGAGGGAAGGATGTAAAAGGAGGAAGAGGCTTGGTCGGGATTGCTAAAGGGTGGAGGCTGCAGCAGCCGTCCGGCTGGATTGAAACGAATTCCCGCGCCCGGGGACGAGCTAGACCAGAGCAGTCGATCCAGAGGTGCCTGCGGCTCATTGTCCAGGCGGAAGCAGTCGATGGAGTGTGGGGATCCCAGGGACCTGGGTGGAGTCAGCTAGAGGGTGTGGTTTTCCTCTGTCACTGTGTACTGTGTAGGCTCTTGTTATACACGATCGTGTCGACTAGGACGCCTTCTCCTGCGTCATCCTCTCCAACTCCGACAGCCTCCAGTCCATTGCTACAGTCGCGGTCTAAGTACATCTAGTTTTGAATTCTGACCCTCCAACATTGCCAAGCACCGGCCACTCCTGACAACATGCCCACGTTATGACTGCTGATTTTGAACTTCTCTTTCCACAGATGTCAGATTCTTGTGCAGTCCATCAGATAAAGTCTATGTGTATAGTCGCTGTTTAATTTTTTTAAAAAAATGTATTTGCAATACATAAATTACTGCACAAATTCTATCAATGGATAACCGTGATTCGTTTCTGTTACCAAGTCCAGATTTTCCACTTTGCTATACCATCCATTTCTAATATATGCACAATTCATAGTCATAATTGAGACTGTCTCTGATAAGATAGATGTGTGACACGAGATAGAGTTGAGATGCAAGTTAATTTTTCAAATTCAGGGTGATGCTGATCCACTAAGGACGCACTGAGTCATTGCTGTGGCATCAGAACTGATTCCTGGCTGACTGTCCAGCGGGTTTTTGGAGGCTGTAAATTGCACGGGAGGAGACTGCCCATCTTTCTCCCTCAGAGCTGCTGGTGGATTCGAACCACCAGAGGGGAGCACTCTTTAGATTAGCAGTGCAACTCTATGGATCACACCACCAGACCCCTCTTACAGGGCAGTAAACTGGTTTTGTTGTTTTTAAATGTTGACATGCTTATGGTAGACCATTCATGATATACTGATGCCAAAAAAAGCATTATTTTTATAGGAAGATGAGAGTATTGGTTCTAAACTTAAATGTTGTTGCTGTTGTTTTGTGCCATCAAGTTGCCTGGTACTCAAAGCGACCCTATGTACAACAGCCCTAAACCACGCTCTGTCCTGTGCCAACCTCACTGTCTCTGACACACTTACCCCCACTAACCCAGTCACTGAATCAATCCACCTCATAGAGGGCCTTCCCCTCCTGCGCTGTCCCTCCACCCTCCCAAGCATGATGTCCCTCTCCAAGGACCGGTCCCTCCTTGCAACATGTCCAAAGTATGTCAGTCGGAGCTTCAGCTACAGAAGTTATTTTAATACCAAAGCAACAGGTCAGTGCTTAAAATAAAATCATATTGCTGTGTTTTTCTTTGTTAATGTCTTGACTCATCATAAAACTAATTGATTGGATATATTTTTAAAAATCCAACTCATTGTCATGGAGTCAGAGCTGACTCATAGCTAATGCTTCAGTGAGTTGCTGAGACTGTAAATCACACGGGAGGAATTTGCCTGTCTTTTTCCCCTCAGAGGCACTGGTGGATTTGAACCACCAGAGAGGAGTCATCTCTGGTTTAGCAGTACTGCTCCGTATAAACGAGAGTTCTCTATTGATTGTGTGTTGTTGTGTACCATAGAGTTGGAACCAACCCATAGCTGACCTTCCAGCAGGTTTTCAGACGCAGTTAATCGCATGGAGGAAATTGCCCATCTTTCTCAGCTGGTGGTCTTGAACCACGTGCCTTTGGGATTGCAGCACAGCTGCTTGTAAATAGGCTGTAGTGTTAATTTATGTAATGTGTCTTCTTTTTCAAGTCATAAATAAATAAGCTAGGAAAAAATAATGGAACTAGTGTAGGGCAGGGTTCAGAGCTATTGTGCATAGATAGTGAGTCACACTGTCCTCAGCAGCCCATAACAACAATGCAAGTTTGAGTTTATGATGGGAAACTACTGTCTTCATTTATTTGACAAAAGTGACAAAAGTAGCTTCTGAGGTACAGGTCTCTTTTAAGCTTATATTGGTAATAGCTATGAGTGCTGCTTTCTCTAAAAGAGTGGGAATTCCTTAGACCCAGCTAAGCCATCTCTGTATCAAGATTACATCAAGCAGGATTTCAGCATCTTTGAAATATGTAGAGTGTATTGCATACATTTACAATATACAGATTTTCCAGAATTCTAGAAGAGGTCTGCTAGCTCCTTAAAAAAAAAAAAAGAATAATTTTTCTAATGCGACCATTTCAAGCTTGCAGTAAGAGGCTTTGAAATGAAAGCAGCTTGAAATATCTTCTCTTGGATATCAATGCTTTCTAAATTTTTCCTATGATCAGAGAGGCTGAAATGCAAATGAAAAAAAAATTGAAATACAATTGACTTGGGAATAGAGGGTCAAGATTTACATTGGACTCCATTTTCCAGTGCTCAGTTTAGGCATTTTTCTGGACCCCCTTTTCATTTTTGTGGTTGACTGATCAGCAAATGTTGGCTCTACTGTCCTACGTTATCCAGCTCCTGACTATTTCGTGTCTCTTTGGTCCAGACCACCATCACCTCTCACTTGGATTTTTGCAGTAGCTTCCAATCTAATGTCCTCGCTTCTGCCTCTACCTCCTCTCCCTTTAGTCTGTCTTAACAGCCACAACTGATCCTTTTAAAGTATAACAGATCATGCCATTTCTGCACTGAAAATTCTCCAATAGCTTCCATCACATTCAGACGAAAGTTTAATGTCCTTCCCGCACATCTACAAGGCTCTGAATCATCTGTTAATTGTCTGATATCCCCTTCTGTCCTGCACCCCTTTTCCTTTCTTCTAGGCATGTAGCTTCTTAATGTTCCTGGAAGACCCTTGCATGCTCTCTCCTTAAGGCTTTTCCCTGTCATCACTTCTCGACTCAAAGAAGTTTGGGGGACTTCATCGACATAGTCCACAGAGAACGGCACTGACAACCCAACTACACTGCTAAGGGCAGACATCTCTGGTGGTCTGAATGCCCCAGCAGCTCCATGGGAGAAAGGTGGCTACTCTCTTTCCATTATAATTTACCTGCATGGCTGGTTCAATCCATATATCATTCAAGAGGCTGGACTTCGTGAAGAAGAATATGGCACTAAGACTGGAGGAAGATCAACAAATGGATAGAGAAACTCAGGTATATTCACACAATGGAATACTATGCTGCAATGAAAAACAAGGAACTCATGCAATATTATTCAAAATGGGTGACCTGGAGGACATTATGCTGAGTGAAATATCTCAGTCAAAAAAGGACAAATACTGCATGGTGCCACTGTTGTAAAAGAGGACTGAAATAGGGGTTGGAGGGAGACTGAGAAAGAGGGGCTATATAATGTATACTTCACTAAAACAGATGAGAGAGCTGTTTAAAAGGGATATATGATTAGGTATTATTGTCATGATAGGAGTCCAGAATGAAGGCAGCATAGTGGTATGGGCTTGGGGTGAGGGGTTGTATAGCAATGAAAGATTTTTTTTCTTTTACTTTGCAAAGAGAAGAGCGAACTGGGTGGGGAGGGGTGGGCAGGGAGAAAAGTGCAACAATGA